ATAGCTGTTGATAACCTTTTTCATTCCTTAGTGAAAGAACTCAGTGATAGAATATTATTTTGATTTTAAAAAGTCCAAATTATGCAGTAGAAAATGAGTAATTTTTAGAGTTGAGTCAAATCAAATCAAACATTCTCCCAATTATCTCCAAAATTGGAATATGAATTTTTACAGGTTTTAAAAGTGATATTCTTAGCGGCATAGCATCTACAAAATTGTCAAAGTAGTCTGCAGTGAGAATTCTTCATAATTTCTAGGTTTCATGTTTAATCTTGTTGTTTGGAACATCTGATAGAGCTGTGAAATACTGTGGTCCTTCCTGACAGTGTGTAATTGTGAGTTAGGAATCTTGAATTTAGCAGAAACTATGCATAAAAATAAACAGTTTTGGTCTTAGTTCAGTTCAGAATTTTTCTATCATTGAACCAGAATAGATACCATAGAGAAAGACTACAAACATTAGTATTGCTTTCACTGACATGGAACAATTCCTTTTCATTAAAAACTTCAATTTTTATTATTGAAAAGTGTGATGAAACTTCACAAAGTTATTTAAATTTGATGGGTCAGTAGTAAACTCTCATTTACTGGTTTGAGGTTGATGAAGAATTGGAAGATACTATCATTCACAGAAAATTTTTTCTGATCTTCTGCTCTATAGTAGTGAAATTGGATAAACTATAGCAGCAACAATAACATGGTCAAATCTCATAAACATAGCATTGACTGAAAAAAAAATCTAGGTCCAAAAGAATAATACTTAATGATTTTTTTCTATGAAGTTCCAAAACTAGACTTTAGTGTTTAGGGATGCAAGAAGTGATTGCGATAAAGGTAAAGATAATAGTTACATTATAGGTAGGTGGTAGAAGTTGGGGTGGAGTTTCCAGGAGCTTCTAGTGTGTCAGTAATGTTCTGTTTATTCACTAGGCTGGTGATTGCATGGGTATTTGCTTAATGAGAAACCGTCAGTGAGACACTAGGTGCTTTTCTGCTAAGATCAGGAACAAGGGAGAATGACCCCTCTTAACAATCCTGTATTGAATGATTAATCATTCAATATCATACTGGAAATCCTAGTCACGTAACTAAGATAAGAGAGGGAAATAAAAAGCATAGATTGGGAAGGAAGAAACACAGTTTTCTATTCGCAGATGACATGATAGTATGTAGAAAAATCCCAAAGAATCAACTAAGAAAAGCTCCTGAAACTAATAAACAATTATAGCAAGGTAGCAGAAAACAAGATTAATCTATGAAAGTCAGTTGCTTTCCTGTATGCCAATGATGAACAACTGCAATTTTGAAATTAAAAAGACAATTCCATTATAATAACACCAAAAATAAAAGAAACACAGGTATAAATCTAACAAAACATGTGCAACAACATTAGGATTAGAACTTAGGAAACTGCAGAAGTATTAGGAAAGCTACAAAATTTTGATGAAAGAAAATCAAAGAAGATCTAAATAAATGGAGAGATGTTCCAGGTTCATGGATAGACATACTCAGTATGGTTATGACATCAAGTCTTCCTGACTTGATCTGTAGATTCAGCATGATCCCAATCAAATCCCTGCAAGTTATTTTGTGTATATTGATAAACTAATTCTTAAGTGTGTATGGAAAGGCAAAAGACCCAGAATAGACGACAGAATATTGAAGAACAAAGTCAAAGGACTGACACTACCTGACTTCAAGACTTTGTTTAAAGCTCCAGTAATCAAGATAATATTGTATTGATGAAATAAAAGACAGATCTTTGTAACACAAATAGAGAACCTAGAAATAGATCCACAGAAATATAGTCAACTGATCTTTGACAAAGGAGTGAAGGCAATTCAATTGAAAAAGGATAGTATTTTCAAAAAGCGGTACTGTGAAACAACTGGATATCCTGTGCAAAAAAATGTAGACACAAAATGTACATCTTTTACAAAAATGAATTACAAATGAATCATAGAAATAAGTATAAAATGCAAAAATATAAAAC